ACATCTGTCAAAATTTGTCGTTCACATGCGAAAGCTTTGCGTACGCACACAGTTGGAGTGTGAGCTTTAAAAAAAGGCATATTATGTTTTTATTTTATAATTCTGAAAGATATTGTAATTCTCCATCTTTTGATGTATTACCTATTGCAAAAATTTAAGTAATAACGAAGATAATGGTCAATATAAAAAGCTCACACTCACGATCGCATTGAACTGCATAGCAGGCTTAAGGGTACAACTCCACAACAAGATTTTCAGGCATTTGGCGCTTTTCAGCCTTTCAGATACACAATTCAGCTATTGCTGAAAGCCTGAAAAGCGCGGAACGCCTGAAAAGCTTGTTGTAGAGTTATACTCTAAGGCTATCAGCACAATTGTCGTCCACTCATGGTGCGTTATCGCCTTGTCCTGAAAATTTGAGCCGAGCACATGCATTTCAATGAGGATTTGCACACTGGTCGTTATAGGCTAGTTATCGCTAAATCGTAGAAGATGCAGAAATGGATAAGTACGACAGTGTCGTTTGCTAATCGGTATGCACACATTTTTTGCTTACATTTTATGGGGAAAAATTAGTGAAAAAGTCAATATTTTTATTAAAATTGCATAAAAATTCGTAATTCTGCATAAAATCTGTGGAAATTATTAAAATAAAATTCAATAAATATGAGAGTTTTAACTATCAAATATGACAAAATTGTAAAAAGTCTGCGTTCGTGCACAAAACACATCTCAGGAAAAGAAGAGAGAATAATGAAAAATTAAGTCTAGAATTGTTGCAGCAGTGTTCATAATTTTAATATTGCAGGTTTTTGTAAAAATTACATGTTTTTGTAAAATTATCGCGAAAGTATCAACCAAAAAATTAGAGAATACCTGCTCTAAGCGAATTTTTAGACGCCCAATGGTTTGAAATATCACGATCGAGTGGCGGAAGTGTAGTCGTGCAATGCATTGCGTGATTTTGCAGAAAGCCCAGCCGCAAAACATTCGCAATTTTTATCGTATGATATTGTCACAATTACGGCGCCTAAAACGCAATATAAACATAAGGAGTCTTCATCAAAATTGATAAACTGTTGATAAACTTGATTAAATGATAAATTTATCATTTATATAAATGAACTGTCAAACATTTTATTGCATTTTATTTAACCAAAGTTTATCACTTTATCAAACGACTCTGGTGGATAAATGTATAAATTTCAGCAAAATGCAATCCTTATAGATTGCCAGGTGGTCGCTTTTGCTACGAACACATAAAAGCAAATGAACATAATGGACGAGGTAAGAATGAACTATCCATATAAGTTAAATGATAAACAATTTTATGTAATTATCTACCAAGGTGCGTTCATGAAAGCATGCGGATAAACATATAAATTTAAGCAATCTATAACTTTATTACTTTAGATGAAGACCCCTATTGCTTCGACGTTGTCGCGTGCTCAGTAGGTCATAACAATAACAATAAAAGTTGTCACCATACGAGAGCTTAAAATAAATTTGCGGCATAGTATTAGGCGCCGTAGTAAAGACAATAGTCAGCCGCTGAGTTTTGTCATTTACGTGGGAATATTGCTTCAATTCTTTGAATTTTCCGATTCTTCTTTTTCGTGATAATTATCTTTTAGCAAAGTAATGAAACAAAGCTACAATCAGAGAGCGTTTTTATTTTCCAACGCAACTCTGAAAATGGCTTAGGTAGCCCAAAGAACGTAAATGTATAAGAAGCGACAACTCGTTACTTTGAAAA